TTCCTGAACTTGAATTGTAGCCTGTGGTGCTTCCCTAATAAACTCCATAATCTGCGAGCTCTGTGTGGCCACTGCAGCGAATTATTGAACCCAGGAGAGAGGTGGTGGGTGCTTTGGGAGGAACGGTTGGAGAAAGGGCTGGAGGAGGGAGGCAGCATGTCTGGCCTTGTAGGAATAGGCCTTGGGTTACTGCTGGTAATACTGTCTTCCTCTTGCGGGATTAGAGGAGGTCAGAACATATGGCCTCCTTGCCGTTTTTGCAGAAACCCAACAAGGGGTCGCTATAAGTCAGGTCCAACTTGATGGCAGTGGGTTTTTTTTTTGGTTATCATAGTTTATGCTAATATTTTATTCTTTAACACCTATTATAGAGATTGGGTTTTGAGTCTTTAGAAGGCATTACTGTAGAACTGTTGGGGAAAGCTACTTTTAGAGTTATTTTCCTCTAAAAAAAAAAAGACCAAGAAGGCCTATTATAGGAGCTCTGGTAGTGTAGTACCTAAGGCATTTGACTGCTAACCAAACTCAGCAGCCACTGCGGAGCGGGAAGACTGGGCAATCTACTTCCATAAAGATTTACCACCTTGAAAACCCAAAGGGGGTCAGAATCGATGCAATGGCGGTGAGTTTGTTTTTTTTTTGTAGTGGGCTTATTATAAAACTGGGAGCTCTGGTGGCATAGTGCCTAAGGCATTTGACTGCTAATCAGAAGGCTGGCGGTTCAAACCCCCAGCTACTACTCCTCAGAGGGAAGGTTGGGCAGTCTACTTCTATAGTGATACCACCTGGGAAACCCAAGAAGGGGTCGCTATGAGTCGAAATCAACCCTCAGCAGTGAGTTTGGTTTCGGTTTGTGTTATGAAAGTATGGTCAGTTAGACTCCATTAATTATTTTTCTTTTTGACCCTCACTTAGTTCTTGGCCATATATCTGTCTACCTAATGTAGTGCCTAGGGCATCTGACTGCTCGATGGCAGTGTGGATTTGGTTTAATTGTTATAATAGGAAAGTCTCAAGAAAAGCACGCTAAGGAAAGGAAGTCTTTTCTAGGAGCAGGAGGAGTTCCCAAGGCAGGGCATCCCCAGGCCATTGTACACTGTCAGAGAGTGAAAATTCCGAAACAAATGTTCTTTCACCCATTTTTGTATTTCTCCTCTTTGGAAGTAAAGGAGCACAGGCTTGTGGAATAGATCATAGAGATCCCTAGATGTCTTCATATTCATATTTTTAAAATATATTAAAGCTAGGAAGCCAGTGGGGAAAATCAGAGATCGTTAGATTATGAATGCCATTAGTTTGGGTTATTACTGCTTCGTGGATAATGACTACTCAACGATCTTTGGGACATTAGGCAATGTAACCTCTCTAAGCCCATGACCTTGTTCGTAAAATGGGCTTGATGATAGTACCAATCTCAGATGATTGCCATAAAAATGAAACAAGACTGTGCATTGCAGAGGGTTTTCAGTTATAAGTCCCAGCATCTGGGTCTGACAGGCTTCAACAGAAAAGGATATGGAGAAAGACAGGCTATCTCAGGGTCAGTAGAAGGGCTGGATAACTGGACTCAGAGATTACGTAGCCCTAAAATGATGGCACAGGAGCTCTGGTAGCATAGTGCCTAAGGCACTTGACTGCTCACCAGAAGGCTGGTGATTCAAACCCACCAGCCACTCCTCAGAAGGAAGGTTGGGTAATCCTACTTCCGTAGTGGTACTGCCTCAGAAACCCAAGGAGGGGTCGCTATGAGTCGGGGCCGACTTGACGGCAAACAACAACAACAAAATGATGGCACAGAACTAGTATGTGGAGGACTGCTGCATTACTGCTAAGCACTGGGTGCCAGTTTGTATTGCCTGTCCTGGGGGTTGTCATTCACACTATTGTCACTGCTGCCTTTGAAGCTGACTGTTATTGCCTCCCCTGCTCAAAATAATTCTCTACCATTTCTGATTCTTTGTGTCACTAGCTCTCGCCTTATAATCTTGGGCAAGTGATTCTGTAACTTGCAACAAGGAGCCTGAAAAAGTATGTTTATGATATTATCAGTTTCTGTAATGGAACTTGGGCTTTGCCCACCACCAAGATTTAGAAAACTGGGAATTCTTAAAGCAAAACAGGGCTAGGCAGCCCCCAAACTGATAAAACTTATAAAGTGCTTGGTACTTAGCCTGATAGGTGCTAAATTTTGGCTTTTATTAATCTGTATTTGCCAGCTTTATTGAGAAAAAAGGTTAGGGAAATTTGTACTCCCAGATTTGGTTTTTGAAGCAACTAGAGCTATAGAGTAAATAAAAGTAAGTGGATATATATGATTCCAGGCCTAGAATTCATATGGTAATCTGTTGGCACTTCGAGATAATACCTTCCCAGTTATTTTGAAGCAACTCAAAGGTAATTCTGGGCATGTTAGCCAAGATTTATAAGCAGCTACTGGCCAAGATTGACACTGCAACTCCCTTAACATTCTTTAGTTCTCTCTCTTTTCATCTGTTTTCCCATTTATCTGGTCAGTGATAATATATCTGAGAGAGTCCAACTTGAGTGTCAGAAAACTTGGATTTGAATCTCTGTTGTTTTAGTAACTAGTGGTGTGACCTGGGCCAGTTTACATAATCCCTTAGATTGTTTTTTTTCTCTTTCTCTTTGCATACGTGTGTGTGTGCAGTGTGTGCGTGTGTATATGTAGAACTAAGAACTAAGGCCCACCTTCCAAGAGTAATTTTGAGGATTTAAGGGAAAATACTTAGCATGTAGTAAGTACTGTTCAGTACATATTTATTTTAAACAAAATAAAAAGCCTTGGGAGTTACAGAACATCAAATTGAAAAATCTGTAGTGAATAGATACATTATTAAACCAATGTCATTTATTAGCACAGCACTTTCAGTGCATCCATGAGGTCAAATGTTTTTATACTAATACCAGGTCATCGTTTGTCTTTTTGCTTTTAATTCTTTCATGAGTGCAGTTTCCAGGGGTTACATGGCATGTAGTATCAAAATGTATTAAAAGCAGAAGCAGATAGGTGAATCTGTCTGTTTTTTATTTAGTTCAATATTATAGAGATTTGAAAAAATGTGAAGCAATTAGCTTCTAGAACTCTTCTCACTAAATTTTGTTAAATTCTTTTTTTTTTTTTAGTAAAAAGTGTTACTTGTGTTAGCATGTTATTGTTATTTTAAAATGAGTTAAAAAATTTTTTTTTTTTTTTAATTTCTGTTTTAATTTCTATTTGGCAACCACTGATAGATAAAACCTGCATAAACTTTCTGGGGACCTCAATTTTTTTTTTTTTTTTTTCAATAGCCTAGCCAAGTTGATGAGTAAATTAACCATCACAATACATATCAGATTTTACTACTAATTGCATCTCTATTTATTTCAGTGCTCTTCTTTTTAATGAAGTAAAATATATTACTACTCTGGAAGATCTTCAGAACATAGAAAGTGCTCTGAAAGGAAAAGCGAATATTGCATTTGCATATGTAAAAGCCATTGGAACACCAGGTATTTATCAACTTTACTACTTTTTTCTGTGCCTCTGTACTTGTGTATGTTGAAGTATTTAAAATGAGATATTTGACCGAAATATTAATCTAGTAAAACCTGTGAAAGCCAGAACCTGTGTAAGGTAGAATCCTGTCAGAGAAGGAGAAAGAAAACCTATGAAAGCTGGAATCTATGTAAAGCTGTCAGAGAAGGAAAACTAAAATATTTTCCACTAATAGAGAGTGATAGAGAATTGGTAAGACTGCATCCCATCAAAAGTGGGAACCTTGTGAGACCTGGAAAAATAAGTCAGTCCTGTCAAGTTCCCACTTTCACAAGTTTCATTGTGCTATGTGATAAATTTTAGGCAGTTTTACTATCATGTTACCTTTCATCAGGCAGCATAGTATAGTGATTGAACTAGAACTCTGGAGCCAGAATGCCTAGGTTTGACTCCCTGCTTCACCAGCTGTTAATATTGTGATGTAGGGTAAGTTATTTAACCTTTCTATGCCTCAGTTTCCTAATTACTAAGATAAGAAGAATAATTGTGCCTATCTCTTTGTGTTATTATAAGGATCAAATGCATTTGAAGAGCTAAAATGGTTCCTGACATATTGTTGGTGCTTTATAAGTGTTACCTATTCCTGTTTTTATTTTTTTTAAAGTTCCTCATGGCACCTGAGGTAGTGTTCACTGGTGTTCAGTAAATATTATTGACTGTCTGGCTTTCTTTTTCAGTCTGATATTTGCTGTTTACCACATTTTATTCCTGATTTTTAAAAACCTGTTTTTGACAGCATCACCATGGACATTAATATCTAGTTTTGTCAAAAGGAGTTGATAAACATTCTATGAACAGGTTATAGTTATGCTTTTCAGTACTTTCACTTGTTAATGATTATAACATGAACATATCAAAATAAAATGTTGGTAAAGGCATTTTAAGAATTGTGTGTACTCTATGGAATAATAAAATTATTTATTGGAGATATCCGTTTTTATCAACATAAGTCTTACTGGGTACATGCATACCCCCTGAACTAAATACAGTTTAAAATGATGCTCCTCAATCCACCTGCTTTGCAGGGTCCTTGAGTGGCTATATTTTCTCCAGACTTTGTAGTCATAATCAGTGAGAAGGATGGACTCTAGCAGGTTTACACTGCCAATTTGAACAGGATTTTTCTGACTACTTTGTTCGGAATAGGTTGGAAGGAGTAAGGGTAGAGTAAGAGAGAAAATTAGAAAGTTATTACAATAATGTAGTCAAGTGATGATGGGTAGATATGGGGAGGAGCACAAGTTAAAGGCAACAAAGGTGAATACTAACAATAATTTACGAGTAGACGCATAGATAAATACTCAGTCTGAATGGGGGGTTGAGAAGGCAAATGGGACTACCCCTACGAATATATATAGGCTTGACAGAGATTATCTCTGCCTATGTATTTATATGTGCTGCAGATTTATCTATGAATGTAGAATATATCTGTGAATGTAGGAACGCATATAGGACACAAAGCTATGAATACGTCTTAGTCATAACCAAACATTTTAAGGGAATGAGTCACTGGGTATGGAGCTTCAGGACCATAGTCTTGAAGGATACTAAGGTCAATTGGCATAACATAGCCAACAGCAGTGCTCTACATCCTACTTTGTTTTGAGTAGTCTTCAGAGCTTGTGAGTAGCCATCTAAGGTGCAACTATTGGTCTTTTCCCATCTGGAGCAAAGATGAGTGAAGAAAAGCAAAGATGTAGGAAACAGTTAGTCCAAAGGACTAAATGGAGCACATGAATCCCAGCCTTCAAGACCCTGAGACCAAAATATTAGATGGTGCCTGGCTACCACTGCTGACTGCTCTGAAGGGGATCACAGTAAGTGGTCCTGGATACAGTGGGGGGAAAATGTAGAACAAAATTCAAAATCATAAAAAAGACCAGGCTTGAGTTCTGGTAAAATGGCACAATAGGCAGAAAGACTGCACAGACCCTCTTCAACAAAAAAGAAGGGGAACCAGTTAACACAGATACAGAAGATAATCCTGGACCCCTGAGCCTTGAAGGGAAGGATGTAGAAGTGGACTAAACTCCAACTAGCAGAAGAATTTGCATGAAAATATGGAAAAGGAGACATATGGATCTGCAATCTGGCAGCGATCCTGATGGCACAGACAGCTTGGATACTGCTGAGTGGTGGTAGGACCTAAGAATTAACCTAAAAATCAGCCCTGCTAGCCAGGGACTGCACGGGGGACTGCTCTGGTGGCTGGTGAATAAAAGGAGAGGCAGCGGAGGGGAAGGCGGGCTGAGCTGTGGGTTTTTACCTGTCTGGAGGGGGCAGCCATTTTGAATGTTTACCAGTGGTTTGACAATTTTAGATATTTAAAGTGACAACGTTCTCCCAGATGCCAGGGACTTAAGAACAGGATCCACTTGCCGGGAACCGCAAGGACATTATAGACGTGGATGACTGGAAAGGTGTGACATTTCCCTTGTTACTCTTATACCCCACACCCTCTTGGTGAACGGAGGTACAGCCATCACTCCCTCCTACCTACCTTCTGGGCCTGCAAGAACTCCATCCCAGTCTGTGTGCTCGGATGGAGCCTGGGTGTCCTGCCCCACCCTACCCCAATTTATTTTTTCTTCTGTTTTTTAGTTTGTTTTTATCTGTTATAAAAATACTACTGTTATTATTACTTTTGTTCTTTTTACTATTATTCCTTATTATTTCCCTCCCAGGTTCTAGTTTTAAGCTTTTTTTCTTTTCCCTGTTCCTAGTTGCAATTTTTTTTTTCTTTCTCATGGTTAATCCTGTTCCTTGTTTTTCTTTTTGTGTTTTTCCCATTTTTTTCTCCATTATTCTCCTTCTCTACTTTTTTCTCTTATTGCCCTCTCCCCAGATATTGCAGGGTTTTTTTTTTTTCTTCTTCTTCTTTTTCCCTCTTCTTTTTTGGTTACTGTTCCTATGTGATTACACGGTGTGTGTTTTGTCCATTTGCTTTTACTTTTTTGATGATTATTCAATTGTTATTTTTGTCTAACCGAGTGGAAGACAGCAACAGTCCCAATATGACATAACAACACCCACACCTCCTGCAGCTTCACTTACTGTGTGAGAGCCATCTCTTCCTTCTCCATCAATGGGCCAACAATAAACAACCACCAAGAAGAGCCTGACTCACCCTTACAGAGCCTCACAAACATAATGAGCTCAGCACAGAAAATAATATGGAACAAAGAAACCAGGGACACCATGAAAACCACATAACAAAATGACAGCAACCAATACATACTTGTTAATAATTACACTGAATGTTACTGGATTAAATGCACCACTCGAGAGATGGAGAGTTACAGATTGGATAAGAAAACAAAACCCATCAATATGCTGCCTAGTAGAGATACACCTTAGAGACAAAGACAAAAATAGACTAAAAGTCAAAGGTTGAGAAAAGATATATCAAGCAAATGGCAACAGTAAAAGAGCAGGAGTGGAAATATTAATTTCTGATCAAATTGACTTTAAGACAAAAACCACCATATGAGACAAGGAAGGACATTATATAATGATTAAAG